ATCTTCTCCCCCACCGCCTTCCCACATCTCCCCCATCTCTTCCCCTACCTCCATCCCCCACCTCCATCCCCCATCTCTCCCTCCCCACCCCGACAAGCGCAGTCCCCTCCCTCCTCGTCTCCCGGCGCCACCCGCGGTCTGTTCTCCCCGCGGCAGCCAGAGGGCGCCGGTGAGCACCGAGTTGGGCAGGTCCCTGCTCTGCCCCAGCCCTCCCCGGGACCGAGCTGGGCAGAGCTGGTGAGCACCGAGTTGGGAAGAGGCCCCGCTCTGCCCGGGTGCCTCAGCGCGTAAAAGCCCCAGTCCTCTCCCGGGACCCTGCACGACCTGCTCCCTCTCTTTACCCATCACTCACTCCGCTCCAACCAATACGGGTCTCCTGGCCGTTCCTCCGGAATGCTAGGTGCCCTTGAGGCTCAAGACCTTTGCACCTGCTGTGCCTTCTCCCCAGGCCATCCCCTGGCTCCCTCCTCACCTCCTTTAGGTCTCTCTTGAATGTCACCTTCTCAGTGAGGCTTCCCCTGACCACTCCATTTCAAACTGCAACTCCCCACACCTCCAAGCCCTCCTTGGCCTCGATTTTTCTCCATGACGCTACTTTGCCTTCTAAAGTAATGTAAAACGCACTCACTCGTTTGTCTCTCTCAACAATAAGGGTGAGGACGGGAGCTGATGGGTTTTGTTCACACCCGTTTTCCTAGTGCCTGAACCGTGCCTGGCACACAGTGGGCACACAAATAAATAACAGTCGGATTGATAATTATGAGCATCGATGCTATCAGCTCAGTCCCTGCAGCCTCTTCTGGGGGTACTGAGGCCCAGAGCCTGCCGTCCATCACCTGGGCCCCCCCAGGCCACATCATATTGCTGAGGGAGGAGCCTTGCGCCCTATCCCAGTGCAGGCTTCCTTGTTCTATTTTGCTGATTTGCTCTCCTGTGTCAGTGAATCAGATTGGATTAAAAACATGGCTCATTTGCATGAGCTTAGAATTAGCTTCCCATTTACATGCCATTACTTGGCGGTGGTGGGGAGCTCTGAGCCAAAAGTGAGTTGGCTGAGAGAAGCTGGTGTGATCGGTTGGAGGACCGGCTGTGGGTGGGGGGGTCTCTCGGATAAGCTCAGTCTGGTGATATTGCTGGACCTTGCGGTCTCCAAAACCTCCCCTTCAGGATCAGGCAGTCATTCCTGTCTGTTTCCCACCCTGCATTAGCTCTTCGCTTCTTCCCATGTCACGATGGGGAAACGGAGGCAGTTGGGGCCGAGTCCCAGCTTGGACCTGGATGAAAGATCATCCTCCGGCCAGGACCCTGGTCCTTTCTCTGCCTGGTCCTGGGTCCTTGAGGCTGATCTCAGTGATGGTACCCCTGGGCTCCTGCACTTCTGGCCAGTTTTGGTCAGTGGGACAGACTGATTGGCAGGAGGAGGAGGTTGGGGTTTGTACCTCCTGTCTCCCTCATCGATGCCTAGTTCTGTTCACAGTGCTGGGGTTTGTGCTGCTTCTGGAAAGAAGCAAGTGGCTTGTCCAATTTGGGGGGCCCAGAGGTGACTGAGAAAGGAGCTGGCTGTGGGCTGGTTTGTAGGCCAAGGTGCCCCAGGTGGAGGGAGCTCAGGTAGGCACCCTGAGGTGGGACCTGGTTGGAGGGGCTTCAAGGAATAGGAGTGCTACTGTGACCAGAGGGGAGTGAGTGAGGACTGAAGGGTCAGAGGCGAGGGCGGAGGGGAGGAGGGCCAAGACTGTGCCTGGCCTTGTGTGCCGGCGAGGGCTTGGATTTTATCTTTGGGGCTGTAGGAGTCCACAGTGGGTTTTCAGCACGCCCAGAGCACTGAGCTGGGATTAGAGTTTGGGAGAAGCCCTTGACCCTAAACTTTGAACTAAAGTCTGAGTCAGAATGTCCTGGACTCAACTCCTGCTCTGCTGCTAAGTTACTCAGGGACCTGCACATGTCCCCTCCCCTCTCTGAGCCTCAGTTTCCCTATCTGTGACCACAAATGAGGTTTAGCCACAGCATTTCCCCTCAATGGGGTGCTGAGATAATTAACCAACGTGATGAACATGAGGTGCCTGAGCATAAAGAGGATGGGAGTTTTTCTGCTGGTAGCTTCACATAGACCCTATCATCCCTTTAAGGCGTGTGGGTCTGTGGTGATGTCTCTTTTCCATTCTTGATATTGGTCATTTATGTTCTTTCTCATTGTTTTTTGGTCATTCTAGCTTGAGCTTTATCAAATTTGCTGATCTTTTTATAGAACCAGCTTTTGGGGGGAGGGGCTTTGTTGATTCTTTCTACAGTTTTCCATTTCATGCATTTCTACTATTATGTCTTTGATTTCCTCCCTTCCACCTGTTCTTCTCTTTCTAGCTTCTTAAGGTGGAACCTGAGGTCACTGGTTTGAAGATCTTTCTTCTTTTCCCCCCTTCTTTTCTTTAAAGGTTTTTTTTTTTTTTAAGATTTTATTTATTTATTTGAGAGAGAGAATGAGAGAGAGAGAGAGAGCATGAGAGGGGGGAGGGTCCGAGGGAGAAGCAGACTCACTGCTGAGCAGGGAGCCCGATGCGGGACTCGATCCTGGGAATCCAGGATCATCACCTGAGCCGAAGGCAGTTGCTTAACCAACTGAGCCACCCAGGCGCCCCCCCCTTCTTTTCTAATATAAACATTTCAGACTCGTTTCATGAACTTTTTAGCATTTTGACTAAAAAGTTAAAAAACCATAGGATGTATTACAATTACACTGAGGAGTGAATTGCATCATATGTCAGTTGTCACTCAATAAAGCTGTTAAAGGTGACAGTGCAAAACAGCCTGACAACACAGTGACCCACATGGAAGACCCAGGAATTTGAACTCTGCTCTGCCGGTTCCCTGGGCCCATTCTTAGAGCCTGACGCAGCGGTTGCCTTTAGTGCAGGCAGAGACACAAACTCTCGTTGGGGAGCAAATCTCCGTTGGCTTCTGGGGGGCCTTGGGTGGTCCTGGAGGACCGTCACTGCCTTCTTGCCATCTTTGCTTCTGCCCCAGGGCCTTTGCATGGCCATTCCCTTAAGACATGCTCTCCTTTCACCTTCTCAATTCAGTGACCTGTCCTCCTGCCCCAACACTTGGCCTGCACCTGCGCTGCCATCTAGGGCTCCTAGCCTGGCCCGGTGTTTTCTAGCACATTTAACCCCTTCTTATATACTATTTGCTCATTTATTAATTCATTGTTTATTTCTTTTGTCCCCTACTGAGAACATCGGCTCCTCATCTGTCTATTCCTTCATGTCCCCGCCAGCCCAAACAGAACCTAGTAGGCAGTAGGTGCTCAATAAGTGCATATTGGATGAAGGGAAGAAGGAGGGAAGGAGTGCAAGCAGGCAGGTAGGCAAGTTTCTTGGCCTGAAGCTGCAATTCCCATACAGGGGCAAACTCACCGTATGACCTTGTGCTGCACCTCAGTTTCCCCAGCTGTAGAAATGGGGCCACACTGCCCAAGACCTCACCAGTCCCTTCTGCTACAAGGCTGTAGGTGTTGTGTTTATGGCTTTGGCTCTCTGGAGCCTTCTCTGGCCCCGACTGCCCAGGTTGGCTGCTCCCTGGGGACCCGCTCTGCTGACACAGGATTCTTTCCTGGACCATCCAGCCCCAGGCTGACACTCGATCCTGGCCCCACTTCCAGGCCAGCGTCCGCTGATCGGACCGCTAAGGCCAGGGTGCCAAGACTCTCTGCTGAGGGACAAGGGACTGTCTGTGCGGTCCCCGGGGGGTCTGTGGTGAGGCCAGGGCCCTGCCAACATCAGCACAAGCCGCAAGGACTGAGGACAGTGCCGGGACCTGCGGCCCAGAGCTGCTGCTGCAGAGGAGACGGCACCGGGCGTGGGTGCTGCCTGGCCCCCGAGCTCCTTGCAGCTCCTCACCTGCTCACCATGGGGACCCTCAGCTGCAACCCTGATCCACGGCTGACCACAGCACCCCAGGGCTGGCGGGCCACTGAGTGCCAGATTCTGGAGACCGGCTTGAAGAAGTCCTGCGGGATGGACACTCTGGAGAATGGTACGCTCCAGCTGTGGAGGAGGGAGGCCGTGGTGGTGGAAGCTTGTCCTGCTCTATTCTCCCCAGCTCCGCTGTGGCTTCTGGAAAGTTCTGGGAGCCCAGCTGGAGGTGGGAGTCTCTAAGTCCCTGCCCTTCCCCAAACCTCAGTTTTCCTCCCAGTAGGATGGGTGTGAATGTCACATTTCTGTTGGCTCTTGCGTGGGCTTCCACCCAACAAGAACTGAGCATTTTATGGGCAGGCACCGTGGCAGGGGCTGATGCTACAGCAGTTACAGAGTGGCAGAGGTTCGTGGGGGAGACAGACACAAGGCGAAACAGACAAGAAGTCTTTGGTGTATCAATCAGTGAGGAAAGCCTTGAACAACATAAAGCAGCAAGGAGAGAAGAGATGAGTGTGAGGCTTGAAGGTCTGGACATTCTGCAGGGGCCTGAACATTCCCACCCTGAGGCTAACTGTGCGTTCTCAGTGAGGTCCCGGCCCTGGCTTCCACCATCCACGTGCAACAAAACAGCAGGAGTTAGGCTCCGGGGCCCTGATGTTCCTGCCGAGGCCACCAAACCCTGCAACTGTGACAGCGCGTCTCTGTGTCTGGGCCTCGGTTTCCCCACCTGCGACAGCGCGTCTCTGTGTCTGGGCCTCGGTTTCCCCACCTGCGACAGCGCGTCTCTGTCTGGGCCTCGGTTTCCCCACCTGCGACAGCACGTCTCTGTGTCTGGGCCTCGGCTGTCCCAATGTACCCTAAAGCAGGAGGAGACTGCTGGCCCTGGCCCCTCCTACCTTTGAGTCAGGTTTGACTCACAATGCCCCTCACTCACTTTCCCCCTGTGGGGGGGCGGGCAGCTCCCACCCCCACCCCTGCCATGGAGGGTGGCAGGCAGCCCAGGCGGGGGCTCAGCAGCTGGGCCCTGGGTTCCTGCCCCTGTGTCAATGTCTGGAGCTGCAGGCTGTGACCTGAGGGCTTTGGTCGCAGGCTCGGGGCCAGGCTTGTATGTCCTGCCGTCCACCGTGGGCTACATCAACCACGACTGCACCAGGGCGGTCAGTCCGGCCTACTCCCTCTTCTGGAGGCCCCGCCCCAGTAAGATCGGTAAGACCGGTGCCGGTGCCGGTGGGGGCTGGATGGGTGGGGGAGGGGCCCTCTGAGCCTCCCGTCTCCCCTAGGCCCCCGAGGCCCCACCCCCCACTTGCGGAGTGACCCTGAGGAAGCGCTGTGTCTTCTGTGTCCTCCCATGAGAAGGGAAGGCAGAACGCAGTGTGCTGCGGAGCCCTGAGCCTGTCTCCCGGGCCTCGCAGCTTCCTGGCTGCCTGACTTTGGACGGGCTGCTCAGCAGCTCTGTGCCCCAGTGTCCTCCCCCACGAACAGTGCCAATGTGCCCCTTACAGAGCTGTCCTCACATGAAACCAACCGGTGCCTGCAGACGTCCGTGAGCCAGGATCAGTGCCTGGTGCCCAGACAGCGCAGTGGAAATGGGCTTCATGGGGGTCCTAGCCTCAGTGTCTCTGTCAGCAGGACGGGGCTCCTCACAGACAGCTGTAGAGAGGGCAGGGTGGTGCGGACAGCCAGTGGGCAGCGGGGCTGCCCCGGTCAGCGGGGTCCTTGCTTCCGCGTCGCCCACCTTGCCCCTGGCCAGAAGGGCTGCGTCAGGATGTGTGCAAGGGTCAGCACCATCAGTGCCGCTAACGTGGGTGGCCGTGGCCCCAGCTCACTGCCCATTCCTATTAGTGGAGTCCACGTTCTAGCAACACTCTGCCCTTCATATGAATGCCCACAGACTCCATCACCCCGTTTTCTAGAGCTGAGGTCCTGGTGTGCACTGGTTGGGGAGGGTCCCACACGAGGACTTTGATTCACAGGGATGAAGGTTTGGGGTGGGGGTGGCTGACGGACATGCGGGGCAGCAACTTCTTCTCAGCCTTTAGAATCAGCAAAAATCCCAACCCAACCTGAAACAAAACTCCAGAAGCTCCAAGGAAGGGTTAAGAACTTTGCTTCTGGCCCAGAGCGGCCTGGGTTCTCCCAGAACATCCTGGGAGAGAGGGAGAGACAGGCCGGGGAGTTGGGGGTGGGTGGGGGCCAGGGTAGACTTTGCTGGTTCCCTAGGGAAGACTTCTTGGACGGGGAAGCATGTGGTCTGGGCTTTGCAGGATGAGGGGTTCAGTAGAGCCCCCAGGAGAAAGGGACTTGGTAGGGCTGGCAGCAGACGCACAGGCCTGGAGCTGGGATGTGCTCGTGAGCCAGCTCGCGTGTTGTGCCGCCCGGTGAATCCGTGTCAGCTCGCGTGTTGTGCCGCCCGGTGAATCTGTGTCAGCTCGTGTGTTGTGCCGCCCGGTGAATCCGTGTTGCAGCCACGACACGCAGAGGCACGAGCATTTACGGCTCAGCAGTGGCGGTGACATCAGTCCCAGCGACTGGTCCCAGCAGCGAGGTGCCCCGCACTGGGCTGCCCTCCACGGACCCTCCCACCATTCCATCTCACCCTGCCACTAAGGAGACCGAGGCAGAGATGCAGCTCACAGGGGGCCGTGCTGAGACCCACGCGGTCCCACCCAGGGACAAGCCCAAGCATGCAAAGAGCCCCTCCTCAGGGTCTAGTCTTGCTGTACGTGCAATTCCAACCAACCCACCAGCTGCTTCCCTGGTCTGAGGGGTGGGACAGCCGTGGTCACAGGGGCACAGAAACGCTCATCAGGACAAAGTCGAGGCAGAAACCCAAGGCCCCCAGGTCAGGGCAACCCTGCCTCAGCGGCCCAAGGTGGGGCTGGGGGCTGTCTGGAGGGTGGGAGTGCCTTGGGGTGGACCAGGGGCACTGAGCGGGGTCGAGGTGCCCTTAGGACTCTGGGCTCCTCCCCGCAGCATCTCCACAGGACACCAGCCCTGGGCCTGTCTACTTCCTGGACCCAAAAGTCACCCGGTTTGGCCGAAGCTGCACCCCTGCCTACTCCATGCAGGGCCGGGGCAAGTCTCGGGGTGAGTATCTGACCAGTGCTGTTCCACAAGGACCCTGCCTTTTCAGAGCCCTCTCCTTCCCCTCCCTTCACCCAGTTCCTGGAACTTCAGTGTCTTTGGATGACAAAATCAAGGGGCTCCGAGGAGGGGCTGGGGGCCCTGAGAGAACCTGAATGCGTGATGTGGGCCAGGGTGACAGTGACACTGAGCACATGTGGTGCTGTGAGGGCAGCTGGGGCTCATCTTTGGCATGGGGGGACAAAGGGCACGGTGGGGACTGTGGCAAATACAGCAATCCCCTTCACGGGCTCCAAACAACTCACTTCCACCTGACGTGCCTGATTAAATGACCTGATTCCAGTCTCCCATCCACCCACTCTTTCATCCTTTGACCTATCAGCCATTTGCTCATCCACTCACTGATCCATCAGTTCATCCGTCCATCCATTCACCCACCTATCTAGTCACCAACCTACACAACCATCCACTTGTTCAATCATCCAATCCGTCTATTGATCCACTGATTCATCCATCAATCTATTTATCCATCCATCTATTCCTCCATCCACCCGTGATCCATCCATCTATATTGTCCATTCATCCAACCAGCCACAATCCATCAACCCATTTATCCAGCTACCCAATCATCTACCCATCCACCCACCCATCCATCCTTCCTTTCATCCATCCATCCATCCGTCCACCCACCCAATCATCCATCCATCCATCCACAATTCAGCTATTGATCCAACTATCTACATATCCATGGATCCATTCATCTGCTCATTCATGACTTACCCAACCACTCACCACCCATCCTTCCACTCACTCATTCATTCAAACATGTATTAAGCTGAGGAGATGAAGTAGATTTGACATACCCATGCTTTTTATAAGATCCCAGTCTGGTGGTACAGTTAGGTCCGGGTGGAGACCATCCCACCTCACTGTGCCCATGTCTGGAGGGGAAGACCCAAGCCTGGGGGGAGTCCTTGGAAGGGCTGTGAGGGCTCTGCCTAGGAGGAGGGGGTGGGAAAGGCAGCAGGAAGGAGGGGGCTTTGGGGCTATCTGGAAGGATGAGAAGCAGCTCCTGGGAGGTGGGAATGGGAAAATGGAAGGTATCCCTCGCAGAAGGTTGAGTGTGGGCAAAGGCCTGGAGGCTTAAAAGAGGACGGGGCAGAGGGGTGCCTGGGCGGCTCAGTCGGTTAAGCATCTGACACTTGATTTTGGCTCAGGTCATGATCTCAGGGTCCTGAGGTCAAGCCCTACGTTGGGCTCACACACTGGGCGTGGAGCCTGCTTAAGGTGCTCTCTCTCTCTCCCCCTCTGCCCCACTCTCTCTAAAACCACAAAGAGAGAGGGAACAGACTACTCTACAGGGAGGTCTGGGAATCAGGAGAGATACCTCAGGGCTGCTCAAGAAGCGCTGTGAGTTCCAGGAAGCACAGGGGCAATGGGCAGCCTCTTTGAGCAGGTGAGGACTCCTGCCAACCCTCCTGTCTCATTCTTACAGGTCTGGAGGTGACACCAGGCCCTGGGGCCTACAGCCCAGAGAAGGTAGCCCCTGTGCGTCACCGGACGCCTCCGGCTTTCACTCTGGGATCCCGCCTACGACCACAGCTCCAGGACACCTCAGCCCCTGCCCCTAACACCTATACTCTGCCCTCCCTCTGGGGCTCCCAGATATTCACTAAGCCCAGCAGCCCCAGCTACACGGTAGCAGGCCGCACACCCCCCACTCGCCCCCCTCAGGACCCTGCTGAGATACCAGGCCCTGGCCAGTATGATAGCCCAGACCCCAACACCTACCGTCAGCGCCGGCCCGCCTTCACCATGCTGGGCCGGCCGCGTGCCACCCGCACCCCGGAGGAGACTCCTGGGCCTGGTGCCCACAGACCTGAGCAGGTCACCATGACCACAGCCAGGGCCCCAGCGTTCACCATGGGCATCCGCCACTCCAAAAGGGCTACCACCATGGGTGGGGACATCACGCCCTGACATCTTTGGGGTCAGGACTCCCAGCTGCCGCTGGACCAAGCCTCAGTTTACCTCCATGGTCACATGGGGTGTGGGCAGGCCCCTCCTGAGCCTGGCTTTGGCTGGTGGGGTGCTTGGAGAAGCGGGGGCAGGTGCCTCTTTTCTCCTTTTTTCTGAACTCTGAGGTCCTTCTGGGCCACCTGCTTCTTTTGGTCCCTGAGGGCTGTGACCCTGCGGCCCCGTCAGGGTGATCTTCCGTCCAGTGCCCCAGATTCTTCCTTCTGGTCACACCAGGCCAAGTCAGGCCAGGCAGAGAAAGGGAGAGCCCCAGCCCTCCCCAGCGGCTGGCTGGGGATGAGCTTCCTGTGTCCTAGAACTTGGCGTCCACCCTGCTAGGGCCTGCGTCCCCAACACGGCTCAGGTTTCTGCTAAACTTGGGCTCTTCCCTGCTCCTCAAGGAAGCACAGCTGCCTGCGCTGGTCCCAGCCCCAAATTGGGCTGATACCCCTCCCTCTAGGGGCTGCCAATAAATCTCTCTGTGGTACAAGAGCTGTCAACATCACACATGTGAGCGCATTTAACCCGCTGTCCACATCAAAGGAAGGAGAGTTAAATGCTGCTTTTAAGATCCAGACCCCCAATTCTGCCGCCCCTGGGGGACTGGATGGGACCCGAGGAGGGATCCAGGGCTGGGTAAGAGCCAGGGCTTTGAATGGGGGAAGCCAGGTAAGCTTCTTGGAAGAGGGGACATTGAAACTGGGTTTTGAAGGATGTAGAGGAGTTCAATGTATTCTAATTTCCATCATCAGTAGGTGCCTACCATGTTTCAGATATTGATAAAGATCATTTAAGCGTCACAACAACTCAGGAGGCAGTCAATGTTTACTGAGAGAAAATGGGGCTTTGGAGAGATTGGACTCTTGCCTGAGGGCACACTGTGAGCCCTTGTGTCTCTCTGATGCCAGGATTTGAATCTTGGCCACTGGGCTCTGCTCCTGCCATGCTTCCCCAGGGACAGGAAGGAAACACATGGATGGTGTCATGTGTCTGAGCCTCCTGTGTGATAGGCCCAGGTCTTAGAAACCCCTGACCCAGAAAGACCCTAACCCAGGAGCTTGGGAGGGACAGACTGCCACCATGAGGAGATGGCCCAGGGGTGGCACCTCAGGCATGACCCAGAGGGGTCCTGAGATGCATGACCCTTACTCTGTCCCTTCCCCGCAGCCTGGAAATGCCAAACTTAAACACGAACCCCTTTACCCATGTAGGTGGATACACACCAGGACCCCTACACATACATGCACACCCACCCCTCAGGAGAACCCAGATGCCCCCCTCACATGCATACACATGTTCAAATCTACACACAGTAGACAAACAGGCCAACTCTCATACGGTCCACATGTATGTAGACACACAACACACACAAACCCAGATGGAGGCTCCAGACCCCGACAACGCCGCGCCCCCCAGCAGACCCCAAGGACTTGACCGCTGTATACCCTCTCATCCCGACCCTGCAGATGCACCAGAGCAGTCCCAGCGTGACACACACAGGCTTGGGGCAGCATCACCGACCCCCGCCCCACCCCAACGCCGGCCAATCCGCCACGCGTCCCTCCCCCGCTTCGCCTCCTTCTCCACAGGCTTCGCGGGCGACCGCCAGGCTGTGATCTCATTTCTCTGATTTATCGATCCCGCTCCAGGCAGCCTCACCCCTCCTTCCCCACCTGCCCGCGCGCCCCGGCCCCCTCCCTTTGTTTCCCGGCAGTCAGCCCCACCCCAGGCGGGGGAGGGGAAGGAGGCTCTGTCGAAACTGAGGCCAGGAGGCTGGGTCCTGCGATGACCGTGGCCTCTCGACCCCCGGTGCAGAAGGACTCAGCCTTTGAGGTCTGGGTGGGGGACAAAGAGGCTGGGGACGGAGGGGCAGGCCGGCCTGAGAGGCCGAGGCCCAAGAGTTCAGTTGGGTTGATGACAGACAGAACGCCCCAGAAATGGAGGAGGAACCCGTGACCCCCCAGCTCACGCCCCTGGCTTACAGCCTGGAAAACTGAAGCCCAGAGAAGAGCAGCAAAAGGGGGACTGGGCTTCGCTCCTCCCTCCCAGACCCAGCCAGCCCAACCCACACTCCTGGGCCCGAGTCTCCGCGGCGTGCCCATCTCTGGGTCTCAGTTTCCTCATTAGGAAACCGAGCAGGGCATAATTTTCAAGTACCTTTCAGTTGGAACAGTGGGAAGGGAGGTGCCTGACCTTAGGGTTTGGGGCTCTCTCCTTCCCTGACCGCGTCCCCCCCCTTTCCAGGCGTCAGTTTTCCCATCAGTCAAAAACGGGAGAAGGCAGGTGATTTCTGTCTCTCCCACCTCTGTCCTTCTAGGAATCTGGGCAACGGGTGGGGGACGAAGCTGGGGTCGCTGCCCGGGTCTTGGGTTGGAAACATTGCTCCCTCCCTGGCTGCTGGATCCGAGGCAGCGTCCATGCCCTCAGCGGGCCTCAATTTCCCCAGGCTCCCTGCAGGCGCCGGGACGCCCAGGGCGCGGGTCCCAGGGGCGCAGCCCCCCGCGGCTGCGCGCTGGGCCGGGCGGATGACATCACCGGGCCGGGGCTGGGGGGGCGGGGAGGGAGCGGGACGGAGGGGAGGGCCTCCTCCGCGCCAGGCGCAGCGCCTGGTCGGGCTCGCTCGGGCGACCGCGGTCATGACGCAGGGTCCGGGCGGGCGCACGCCCCCCGCACCCCCTGCGCCCCCGGAGCCCGAGGCGCCCACCACCTTCTGCGCGCTGCTGCCGCGCATGCCGCAGTGGAAGTTCGCCGCCCCCGCGGGCTTCCTGGGCCGGGGCCCGGCTGCACCGCGCACAACCGGGGGCGCGGGGGCCGCCGACTCGCAGCCCGAGCCGGCCGGCCCGGCTGGCGTCCCAGCGCTGGCGGCGGCGGTCCTGGGCTCCTGCGAGCCGCGCTGCGCCGCGCCTTGCCCGCTGCCCGCGCTCAGCCGCTGCCGGGCCTCCGGGGCCCGGGGACCGCGGGGCGCGCGGGGGGTGGCCGGGCCCCCGGACGCCGCCGCCGACGAGTGGATCCGCAAAGGCAGCTTCATCCACAAGCCGGCGCACGGCTGGTTACACCCAGACGCCAGGGTCCTGGGGCCCGGGGTCTCCTACATCGTGCGGGTGAGTGCGCCGGCCGGGATCCCTGGGATTACATCTTCCCCGGACTCCCAGGTTGGGGCTCCCTTCCCCCTTCTCTTCGACCCCGAGAGCCAGGTCTCTCTCCTCCATCCTCACTCCTCTCCCCACCACCCTGAACCCCCATCTCCAGCCTGCGCGGCGCTGGCCGCCCCCAATGGGGCGGCGCTGGGGTCAGGGTTCCCACGGCGTCACGTGGGGAGGGGCGGGGAGAGGGCGGCAGGTGGGTGGAGGACACGCATGCGCAGGTGAAACATTCTCCCGCTCCATTGGTGTTGCGAGAGGAGTCGGTGGGGGGAGGACTTCGGTGGGCGCATCCCACCCCCCAGACCCCCATTAAAAGCGTCTCCGCGGACCGCCGGGTCGGAAGCTGCAGAGGCCTTGGCTAAGGTGGGGAGCGCGGGGAAGGGGTATCTGGAAAGGGGCCGCGCCCAGCCAGACCGCAGGATTCGATGGGAGACTGCGGTACCCGGGATGGGGTGTAAAGCGAGGGACCATCTTTTATCCTGGTGCTTTATTGTGAACCTTTCAAACAGACGGAAGAGTCGGAAGAATAGAGCACCTGTGTATCTCTACCTACGACTGTAAACATTTTACCTTCTCTACTCACATGTCTACCCCTGTGTGTGGTTTTCGGCGAACCAGTAGAGTAAGCTGCCCCTGATGACACTGATTGTTAAGTGCTTCCGCACGGTCTCCCAAGAAAGCGTCATCTTACCCACAGCTCATTGTTCCGTCTGAGAAATCACCAGAGATCCCAAAATGTCATCGAACATCGGGCAGGATTCACACCCCCTCGATTGGCTTGTTGGGACCAGGACCCTGGAAGTTAATGCGTTTGCATTTGGTTCTGGCTGTTCCCTTTACAACTGTCCCCAACACTTCCTGTCCCGCCTCTCCCAGGGCTGGGTTGAGTAGTGTCCCCTGCTGAATTCATGTCCATGGGCACCTGCAAATGCAGGCTTCTTTAGAAATAGGGTCTTTGTAGACATAATCAAGTTAAAATGGGGTCATCCTGGAGTAGGCTGGTGTCGTGGTCAGAAGAGGGAAATGACACAGACACACACAGGGAAAAGCCACATGAGGACAGAGGCAGCGGTTGCAGAGATGCTGCCACAGGCTTGGGGGCCCAAAGGGTTGCTGCTCACCACCCCCAGGAGCTGGAGGAGGCTGGAAGGACCATCCCCTGGGGCCTCCAGAGGGTACGTGGCCCTGCCTACACCCTGATTTTGGACTTCTGGGTCTCCAGACCTGGGAGAGCTCACCTTCCATGGTTGTAAGCTGCCCGGCTTGTGGTACTTTGTTATGGCAACCCCAGGAAAGTACTGTGTCCCTGGTAGTGTCGACATTTTGAGTGTCCCAGACCCTCCGTCCTCCATGTGTGGTTTGGGTCTGAGCATCGTATCACAGGGGAGCCTACGAGATGCGTAGATCCTCAGGCCTAACCGTGGACTTGCCAGGGCCATAGACTGCCCCGCATCCGGGATCTGTCCCTTTTCTCGTGGGGTCTTTTAACTTGGTCCTTTGCCCTTTCTTTTCCTGAATCCTGGCAATGGGTCTACAGGATTGGCTTTGTAGCAAGGGTATTTCAAGGATGGTGCTATGGACTTCAAGCACAGGGGAAGCCGAGTCTGCCCCTTGGCTGTGGGTACGGGGGGGTTAGAATGTTCAGAATTCAGATGCCTGCATTGCGGGGTGCAGGCTGTTGGGTTATTCCCATGATCATGACTTTTTTTTCAACGCAGCAAATACCAAATGCATACCCGTCCTGCCAGGCGCTGACAACCTGGTGGGAAATTAGGAAGATCTGGTCCCTGCTTTTACCGGGCTTAGATTCTAGAGGGAGAC